TTTTACAGAAATAGATGTATGAAGCAAAATAATTGTAGAAAACTAAACAATAGTGTCACACCTTAATCATTTTATGTTCAAATTGTTCTATTATTAACTGAATATTGAAAGAATTAGTTGAGATTTATCCTTACTGAATGTAGAAAAAAAATAACTTAGTCTTAAGGGACCTCATCAGCCTCTAATGTAAGAACTTTAAAACTAGAGTAATTTCAGGTAATGGTTCTGCAGGTGTTACTCACTGAAGCATGTATCCGTCCAGGCCAGATGAACGCTGATAAAAGCAGAGAGGACAGGTTTAGTAACAGTTGCAGAGACCGCTCCATGTTTCCAGCCATGATGAGAAAAACTGTGGAGGCCAGCCAGTCATGGCCTGGATAGTCATACTGCTGACTTACTGTAGAGAAAAGTTAGGGAAGCAACAGGCTAGAATGACAAAGGAAAATGAACAAGAACAAGCATTTTCAAAACAGAAAAAGAGGTAGTTTTATTTGGAAATGCATCTACCGTATTAGTAAAGTATTAACTGCTATTCAAACTTAATAAAATCAAACCACTATAACACCATTTGCTTACTTTTTGCATGCCTCTAACAATTAGCATGCAGAAATATTTGATAGGATAAAGCAGTTTTTCATTAAATATAGCCCTAGATGTTTGATGAGTGCATTCAGGCACTACTGCCTTGTTTCCATAAAAACAGCCTTGCTCACAACTGCTCGAAACAATCCCATGCCTTATAAACACCATCCCCTTTTACTGTAATTGAGGCTAAAAGCCATAGAATCTATTTATAATAAACATTGGAGCTCATAATTTGGGAAACCTTTGGGTTGAATGTTTTATCAAGGCAACATCGACATCTGATGCCATTTTTTAAGGCTTAAAAAAATGTCTTCTTTTCTCTTCTTTGTTAAAATATTGATTACCTACTACATTCGTAATCATATAAAATGTAAATTACTTAAAATATTTTATTTTTAATTGGAAAGAAATCCTTGGTATTTCAATATTGTCACTTTTTTGTTGTTATCTTTTTCCACCAGAATTCAAAAGATTTACATAGACGTGAAATCCAGCGACGGATGCGATATCCTGCAGCCATTTTAGACTTGCTAATCACCAATCCACTGCATTTCATTGATATTGATTTCAAATGAAACGGTTTAAAAACCCAATTCATGTTTTTCTGATAAAAAAAAAAAAAGACGTAACTATCCAAGAAACCCAACAAGCATCTTGTATTTTAAGTTTCCTTTAAACCAGCAGAACATTTAAATGAATCCTTGGCACCTGCTGAGAGAACCATCTGTTATGATGGCTGGTTAAAATGTCAGATACAGGGAGGATAGATTTCGGTAGCTTAAATGTGAAGAGTCACCGTGACTCATAGCTTTGCCTCATGTTTTATGCATCTGGCATTTATTAACATGCAGGTTTTGCTTTTTAAATGACAGAAACTCACTGTGGTATTGTTTTAAATTAATGGGATAGAATATATTTCCTTTACACTTTGGTTCATCATACAGTATATTTTACTGTTTGACATATAGTTGAAGATTGCAGGCTAATAACCTACAGAAATCTTTCTTCTATTCTCTTCTATTCTATCTATAAAATTCAGCTTTTTTTCTGTAAAAAACTAAAAAAAAATTTTTCCTCCAAAAAAAATATATCTATAAACGGTCAGGATTTATAATTTGGATTTATAAACTAGGAGAAAACACCTGAATTCAGATGTAAAAAACCAGAATGAGCTTGTGAGCTACTTTTGGTCCAACCCCATGACAAACGCATGCTCTTTGAATCTCATTGACAGACAACCCTTGTAAATTTGTAATGAACACTGTCAAGACATCATTTTTAAATAAGGAATCATAAATAAATCAGCGTCCCAGAGGAGAGAAAACACATTTTGATCTACCACCAGGCAGCAACATGAAGGAAGCAGAGCAGCTTTACCCAAAATTTATTAAAATTCTTTCCTCTGAATTAATGGTTTTATTTCTTAATTCCAACTTCTGGTTTAGTTCATTGAGATGTAGAGATTTTAAAGCCTCTGGTTTGTTTCTATACATCAAATAGATACATAGAAAATCACTAATTGCATGTATATTTAAAGTTAGTTAGTAATGTATATACAGGAATTTTATAGCAGTTAACTTCTCTGCAAAGTCTTTATAATCTTCAGCTTGAATTTTGGGCTTTTTAGTATTTCCAACTTGTCAAAAAATCTTTCATAAAAGTTTTTTGGTTCTTTTGTCCACTTCTGAAGAATGACTGGAGGAAAGATGTGGCTATCAGTTGTCATTTGGGACAAAAGAAGGCTGAACTCCCCACTGAGACACAGATGGAGAAAGATAAAGCGTATTGTGGTGATCAGACAAACACTGACACTGAAATCTTTCAAAGGCGAAATTGGTGGCGTTACCAGCACAACACTGCGCCCACTCAGACTTGTGTTGGTGACTTGTTGTTTATTATGGGGATTTTAACGTTAACATGGATAAAATATGCAGCCATTACAACATGAAAATGCTCTGAACTTTTATTCTAGGCTTTAATGTAGCTACATGTTAACAGATTCTGCCATTCTTTTGTTTTTTCGAAACGTTTTTTAGCTGATGCTGCTAATTCATAGATTATGAAATGCAACCAAATCTATAAAAGAAGGGGATTTGGCAGTTTGCATCTTTGTTACTTGCAGGGATGTGTTAAAACAGTGAAAAGACATCAGCGATGAAATTTAACGAAGTAAATGATCTGAACGATTGTACGGTCAAAACAAGTGCTAAAAGAAACTCCTCAATCCCAAGAGCTCCATCTTTCACTACACTCTAATGCCGTTAGAAATATTCTGTTACTCTATGGGACAAGGAAATTTGATGTGTGCACATTTTACTATAACTGTTGACTTACAATTTCTTTAATTATAAATCATCACTGATTAAAATAAAGAGCTGTATACGGATGAATATGTTCAATCAAACATCAACGTATCGACTAAATATCTTGGTATGGGCTGCAATAAAAACTCAGTGGTCTGTGACTGGCCTACAATCCAACATGCACACAGCTGATCATAAAGATGCAGAGCAGCTGTGATGTGTCACAGCTCGCTTGTTCCAGGGAGGACAGGTTATCCCAGATGGGATCCAAAACCTGTCCGTTTTTTCTTTTATTTTTCCTGGGCAGCACCATTCAGGACCTGCTGAACCTCTCCTGCCAAATCTCTCTCCCTCTATATGTTCTGGCAGTTCTATTTTCCAATTATTCTTATAGTGGATGAATTAAGACATTTTATAGATCCCTGTTTTATATAACACAATATATTAGTCTCTCCTGTGGATCATGCAAAATCTTGGCATTACAGTACATTGCCTTGCATTCTTCTTCTGTGGTGCATCCCATTTATTTTTAGCCGAATTGATTACTGCAACGGTGTTTTCACAGGTCTGCCTAAAAAGTGGATCAGACAACTGTAGCTGATCCAGAACGCTGCTGCCCGTGTCCTCACTAAGACTAAGAAAGTAGAGCACATCGCCCCAGTTCTAAAGTCCTTACACTGGCTCCCTGTATCTCAGAGAATAGACTTTAAAATACTTCTGTTAGTCTATAAATCTCTGAATGGCTTAGCACCTAAATACATCACAGACTTGCTATCAGTGTATCAACCCTCCAGACCACTCAGGTCTTCTGGCTCCAGCCTGCTCTGCATACCTAGAACCAGAACTAGAAATTTAGTTCCTATGCTCCACTTATCTGGAACAAACTTCCAGAAAACTGTAAAAGTGCGGAAAGCCTGAGTTCCTTTAAATCAAGACTAAAAACACATTTGTTTAGGATTGCCTTCGACTGTTCTAGTTAAACAGTTCAACTAAAACATATTTTCTTTAGTCCAACAGTTTTTAATATTCGTTTTTGTTTCTGCATTTTTTATTTTATTTTATCTATTTTTTTTATTTTTTCCTACTTGCTTTGATTCTGTTTTATCTTCCTGTATTTTAATCATGTAAAGCACTTTGCATTGTCTTTGTACTAAATTGTGCTATACAAATAAATTTGCCTTGCCTTGCCTTAAAGCAGCTGCTCTCCTATTGGCTGATCAGTGAACGTAGGTCTAAGAAGCTGTCAGTCATTACGGCTCATCTTTGATCACATGATGTCGATGAATGACACCTGCCTTATTATGCAACACGAGACTGCAGGTTTAGAGCCATGACTAAATATTTCCTAAGATTTTTCTACATCCCTCATCTTTCATCTGCAATGTCTGATAAGCACATTGTATGTAACTGGCATTAGAGTTGACAACAGAAAAATCAGAAATAGACTAAACGAGGATAAGCCTGTTTGGAAGGGTTGAAGGTGAAAACCTTCTCATCAATAAATGCAGCACAAGTCAGGTCAGTAAAGTTGAACCTTAAGACTTCTGCACTCATCTCATTTTGTATGATGAGACTAAATTATATATGTCTCTTCATTTTGAAGATAGCTATTTAGGAAGATAAATACTGCATGTCATGTTGGGGTAACAGAACCTTGGAACTTTTCAGTTTTAATCTCCTCACTATAACTAATTGTTCATTTTGCAGAAAGAAAAAAAGAGGCCGGTTAATGAGAACCAAAGACGGCAACAAATCCACAACCAAATGAAGGCTTATAGGTTAGAGAGCCAGGTTATGTGTCCTGTTTGGTGTTTCCAGTTACCTGAAATCTGAATTTTAGGTGAAGTTATAAAAGTAAAAAAAATAAAATAAAATATATTTCTATTCGGTTCAAAGTCAATTAACCAAGCACCGCAAATCATGCATGGCTATAATAAAGAGGATGTAGAGGCTGCAATCCAACACTTACCAAGTTCCTGATGATGTGGTACACAACCAGCAAACAAACATTTGTATCCTTTAATTTTTTTTTAAACCTTTGAAAACTTAAGGTACTTATTTTATTTTATGATTTAACTGGATGATTACAGAGCCCCAAGAACAAAATAACAAACCTGTACACCGATCCCTACTTTCCGCACTGTTTTAAAGGATACTAAGACCTGATGATGTTTTAACTCTTTGTGTTGACAGGTAGGTCTTTATGTGTTTCATTAGCAGCTCCAAGTCACTCATTGATTCTTCCTGCAGTATCTGTAGGGAGCAGCCATACCTGAGAAATACACAAGGAGACAAAATAATTTGAAAAAAATAAATATAAAAATCATATTCTTACCTTTTTTGCTTGTTACCCATTTAAAGATATCGAGTTTACTGCTTAACTACACTTTCATCAGAAATTCATCACATTTTCATTTCCGCACCCTTTTTGAAAGACTAAAAATCAAACTGAAGTACTGTGAAAGTCTCTAACAGCTCTCAGAGCTGGTATTGTATTTCAGGCACATAACCCCTGATGACTACTCAAATCATAGTCATATTACAGAGCAGAACAGGTTCTATCAAGGTGAGAGAAATGGATCCACCAGGGCCCAAAATGCCCAGAAGGACTCCTTAAATCCACACCGCCCAAGTCCCGGCAAAACAAATTTTTGCAAATTGATTAACAGTGATAAATTTAGGTCCTTAAAAATGTCCTTGTGTCGAAATAGTTATGTTTTATAAAAATACACCCCAGTAAAATTATTTTTTAAAGCACAGCCTAGGCTACAACACTTTCTTTAGATGGGTTTTAAGACATTAACAGGAGTTCAAACCTCATATGAAATATTGGGTTTTCCTACATCTCTTTCTTTAGTTATCTACAAAGCAAACCTATTTAACAGTTTGTCAAGGTGAAAGATAACATCTCAATAAACTGTTTACAGCTCCAAACTGTATGACTAAATCTACTTTGTAAGTCAATGGTAACATGATAACTGCTTCTCCATGATGCCCATATCTACACATTTTATGTCTATAAATGGGATAAAGGCTGGAAGAGGACAGGGGAGATGGAACAGGGATTAAAACATTTGTGAATGCTGGCTTATGACCAGGAAATAGAGTAAACAAAATTACCGAATAGTCAACACGATCTTCATGGCGACTGGCCGGTTTAGGAGTCGGTCAAACCAGAAATGTAATGCGTTTGGGAATGCTGGCCTATCGGTTCGAGAGTGCTGGTATTGCATCTTGGAGAGGGGGTACGATAGATTCAAAAAACAGACTTGGCGCCTGGCGAAGCACATGGTGCATGTATAGCAGACATGCCCAAAGCCTGATTTTCATTGATGGCTAATTAACAGTCTTTTGCTGAACTGGAAATCATCAGAATCAGCTGTGCTGAAGCAGAGAAACCTATAAAACCTACAGTAGTAGCCATTCAAAATGTCCCCGCTTTCCTTGATGGGCCTTGGCTGGTCCGCTACAATTCCTTTTTAAACATCAATATTTGTATGCTGATGAAGATTCTAAGTCATCCAGGTCATAGTCATTCCGTAAAAGTTCAAAAAAATCCACTGGACTTGGTTTCCAAGATTTGAAGACGTTTCGCCACCTCTCAAGGAAGCTTTCTCAATTCAAATGTCTGGATCCGCAGTGAGTTTGAGTCTTATATAGACAAGGCCTTGTATCGCTTGGAAACATGTAAATGGAAACCGATGAGTGGGTTGTTTGGTTTCATTGTTAGCCTGTAGTATCTGAAACTTGTCTATGATTCTGAAGGTCGTTCGTTAAAGGGGGGGATTTTGTTTTTAGATTTAGTTTTTTGAACTTTTATGGAATCAAAATTTGTACTAAAATATTCTTTCTGTCAAGATTTGTGGACGTTAAGATCAAAAGAGAAGCTCCTTCTCCTTGTCAGACCCTATAATTTAGTGAAAGGGAGGAGTCAGAGTAAAAAAAAATGTGATGCCCTGGCAGAGGGCGTCACTCCAGGGGCTAGAAGTTGGAGGGTATTCTGCTAAGAGTTGCAGGGAAGTGGGCTGCCATTCGGCTGGCGTTTGACTTGGAAGGGCCATTTTGAATGGCTGCTACTGTACAGGACAGCGGTCCTCACGAAGCGACATTGGGCATGCCTGGTGTATAGCAAGCGAAGCAGACTCTGACCTACACGTTCAATAAAAGACTAGGATAAAAAATAAACTTTAACCCTTGTAGGAGCTCAGGAAAAACAAGGATGCTTGTGACAGTGAGGGACACACGTGACTATACAGCTCTTCATGAAAGTAAAAAAAAAGGTCTCTGAAAATGACCTTTCACCAGCCTCACCACTTATGAACCATTCCATAGTCTTTATTTTAGCTGGAAAGTTTCCCTTATATCTAGTATGTAATAAAATCTTTACCTATTCTGCTTAAGGTGCATGGTATGCAGGTTGGTCATGAAATGGAAGTGCTTGTATTCTGATTGACAGCCAGCCAAACTCCATGACAGTGACTGCAGCTTTATTTACATTTTTAAAAAGTGCCTGTTAAATATATATTTTTTTACATTTCATGATCTGACCTGTGGGCCATCATTTTGTGTGACAGAAGTGAAAATGCCTCACAGTCCTGCATAGATCGGGATCTGCTCACCCTAAGCGTAGCAGGAGCAACACTGCAGGCATTGACGGGGGGAGAATTTGACACTGGCTGAATGCTCCGGTCAAAAATGCTGGTAAATGCCTTCTTGGGGAATTGATAAACATATAGAACAATTTCAATCTAAATAAAGTTTTTTTTATAATTATACTAAACTTGCCTAACAAAGTTTAACTATTGGGACTTTAACTCTGTGTTTTGGTCAGAAGAGTCTAAAGTTGACCATCTTAGGAACAAATCCTCAAAGTTAATTTGGTGTGAAATAAATATGACTACGGGGAAGTGCACCACATGCCCCACCATCAAGTTTGAACCTGTGGTGCGCTGGGCTTTTTTCCTCACTTCTCATTAAAAGTTTGGGAACCTCTTTATATCACAGTAAATGCCATCATCAACCTTAGGAGGTTGAAATGGATCCCAAGAACCTAGACCTATAGGAGATATACCCCACAAACTTATTTTAATGACCTAAAGTTAAAAATCAACAACACTCTGAAGATTAAAGGGCATTAAAAAAGACACAGACATGGAGGAGAGTTTTTAAAACAAGACTCAGAAGAAAACGGTAAAAGAGACTTGAAAAACAGACCTTTAAAATTTGGCAGAAAAAATCAGGTCTTTAAATGAACAGAAATAAGAACGTGTTTGATGATTACATAATATGCTCTGTTTGCACTTCTCAAATATATTTATGAACAGGATTTTGGAGGATTTACTTTGCATAAGAATGCAAACCTGTTAAGATTTAGATGGGTGATAGAGGTAGAGCTTCACTGGCTGGCAGTAGCATCATTGAGAAAAAATAAATACATTTCAGATATCGCTTGCCTAATTAAAAGAAGTGGGTTAAGTCTTCAATAACATTCTATTAAATGAATTAAATGTAGGTGCTTCATATAAAAACATTTTATCACTCAACAGGATAGAGCAGTTTGGTTTCCTTTCAAACTTCTACAATCACTAGAGCAACATCCTTTTCCACGTACCTGAAGCATATATTGATGCCCAGCTGCTCCACAGATGATAACGCAACACTCTTCACATTTTTCTCCTCCGCTGTGACACAAAACAATTAAAAAGACACGTGAGAGTCACAATTAATGATCGTCTCCTAGAAGGAGGAATAGAAAGGAAACACTTTCACCTAACTGGTTGAGATTTGACCATGATGAATGGCGGAAACATGACAGCAAATCATGAATTACTGCTTTAACGGTGCTGGAGACTTGACAGTGTGTCTAAGCGGGTTTGTGCTTTGCCGTTTTGGAGGCAGTTGTTGGCGAGGTAGCGTAGTATCAAGGTGACTCAGGTAATTTCACCAACAGTCATTCATGGATAATTTCACAGCGGCATTTTGAGGTTTCTGTGAAGCAGCGCTGTAGCGTTGATTTCGTTGTGGTGGCAGTTTGAGGGTAAAACATGGAATTACTCATTTTTCACCACAGGAACCTCTTTATCAAAAGATTTCTTTTCTTTTTTTATGTGCAAGAGTCAACAGGCACTTAAGTCTCCTGCAGAGTCTGCAAAAAAAAAAAAGCCTAAATGTTTAGTTGTCAAGAGGTTCTTATTAAGAGCCATAATCATTAAAACATATTAGTTTTTGGAAATGCAAGTTTAATAGTCTGAAGACTTCAATAATCATGAAATAAATGGGAAAAAGACACTTTCACATGAAAAATTTTGCAGCCATATCCTGACTTTTGGGAAACATAATATCATAAGTTAACAGATGAATCTTCTGCTGCAGATAGTTTGTAGTCTGATCATGAGGAAAACTTAATTAATTCAAAACATCATCATCCAGAAGTGAAAAGCTCACATTCAATCTACAGAGGGATGAATGGTGCAAAGAAAAGCATCAGTCAAAAGATAAAACGTTCACCAGAATTTGCATATCAGAGTGATCAATCAATGCTGTTACCATCAGGCAGGAGAACATTAATCACAGGCCATCCAATCTTGTATTAATTTCGAGAACTTTCTGTTTTGCTCTTCACCCTTCCCTCCTTACATATTAACAACTCTGAAATCCTCATACTGATGGCAATTACCATCTAATGGAGACAAATCTTCTCGTCATTTCTATTCCCCCTCTAATCTCCTCTGCGTTGTGCCCCCAGAGTCTACTTTACAGCCTGTAATAACCGCAATAACAAATATTAAACTTTTGTTTAAAAGAGCCACCATAAAAGGTGTTGCAGGCAATTTATCTCCTATATTAGCTGTGACTACTATTACTAGTTGTAACTGCAGAACTTATGAAGAGTAATATTGGCAACCTGCAGCTTCGAGCTGATTTAGTCCCCAGTCTTTCTACAATTTTGTTCTTCAGATAAATTAAAAAAGTAATATTGAAAATAATGAATCCTGCAGAATTTGAAAGGAAGGAGTTGTGGCCATGAGGAAAATTAAGAAGCAGATATGCACAAATTATGCACAACAATACACCCCCTAATGTGTGGAGCCTTGGAATCAATTTTAAAATGACTAAGCAGGAGGAAATTGCATCTTTTTTCCCCCCAGTTAAACTCCTGCAAGTCCTGAAACTGAAGTGAGTCTGTCAGAGAAGAGTGTTTTCTCTTCAGCAGGGTTTTTATGTTTAGGCAGCAAATTAAGTGGTCCAAGAAAAATGGTAGAAAAGCAGCAACATTAATAGTGTATTTTTAGAACAACTAAAGGCATGAAAAAAAGACTGGCCAAAAAAACTATGAGAAAAAATACTAAATAATTGGTTTCATTTGTTAATTTATCATAGTAAAAGCAGAAAAACAGAACATAAAACAGCTTTATTTTATCTGGAATTAAGCTCCATCAAAATATTTCTGCCCAGTTGTTAGTACCAACACACATTTGTGTTACCAAGTTACCCATTTGTGATCAGGACCTTCGCTTAATATAAATATATATCAAGGTACAATTTAATTGACATATTTTGATTTCTTTTTCATGATGTTTTTTTCGCCACTATAGGCATTTAGATTTATCTCCAGCCGTACCTTCCAACTTTTATCAGGGTTTTTTTTCCTCTTAATTTTCTGGACTTCCTTAAGACTTTTAAGGATGCTCTTTTCTCTCCAAGGTGATTTTTGTTTTGCCTGTGTGCTATATATGTTGATTCTAATAGTGCGTTCACACCAACTGTGGTGCCCACAGCAAGAGTGCTTGATGTACATACTATCCCTTTGAATATGGCATGGGAAAGGGTGGTAAAGAGGCCCGGGATGAATTCAGAGCAGTTGAAAAATCTTTTTCTGTGAATTTTGTTGCACCAACCATTTGACCGTTTGACTGGTTGTGGTTGTAACGTAGATTGAAGGAGTGCATCCAAAGCTTTTTTTTTTTCTTCAACGGAATATAGAGGAAATGATGTTGGCACAGGATGAAATAATAGTTTTTTAGGTGGCTTTTAAAAAAGGTATTCTTAAAATTGCTGAATCATTCATCCTTCGTCTCCCTGGCTCCGGCCAGCAGCTGCCTCTCCCCAGCAGTGCTGCTCTCTGGCCTGCTGAACAAAGGGAAGTACAGCTGATGCAACCATCATCCAGATGCAGCTCTTGGAGTCAGTGGTGAAACTTTTTCAGAGACTAGAGATTTCAATAGACCCATAGACATTGATGCAGACAATGGCTTTCCATTGAAAAACGAGCTCTGGATCCCTATCAATAAAATACTGACCCACAGAGATGGGAAGTAACGAAGTACAAATACTTCGTTACTGTA